ACATCCAGCGTACCACCAGTCACTTTCGCAACAGCGTCCGCAGCAGACTGCAAGTAACACAAACGGTGTGAGCCGAACACACAGTTGACGTCCTGTGCGACGTGCGTACCTTCCAGCTTGTGGGGTTCGTGAGATCAGCCTCAACGACGTGGATGTTTTCACGACTTTTCTGCAGATCGTAGAGGTCTTTGGACGCAGAAGGGTTGCGCACTACGGCGAAGATGGTATTCTCCGATTGGGAGCTCTGCAAAACAACGTTTTGAACACGGACTCGACTACATCACCGGCAACAGATTACGACGTACCAGTTGCTTGACAAACTCGAACTACGGATAGGAAGGTCAATGATATCGTTCGCGTAACACACAGAGTGGACACGTACTCCGATACCGCGGTTAGCACCGGTGACAACGTAAGAAGACATGTTGGATATGTGAGTAGTATGTAGACGAGGAGAAGTGTGTCTTTCTGTCAATCTTTACAATTTGAACTCGCCTCTTATATGTGTTGCCCATCTGTTACCATCGCCTCAAGCAGAATGGCACAGAGGCTGACGCGTCGATCAGCTCATATTCCGATTCGCGACATGAGCAATGTGATGCGGTGATGGGACGGTGATGTTCCCTGGCGTCGTTTTGCAGTCCAAAAGGGAACATTTGACTCCTTGAAGGAGCAGAGATCATCTTCTGAACGGTGAACACGCCCTGAGATTTGCATCACGAATCGCGATTCGGAAGATGAGGACCAGGATTGGTCAGCGACACCGCTTGGCGATGATCGGATCGACTGTTAATCAAGTTTTATTGGGCGGGTCTAGGCTTGGTCAGCTTGGGTGTGTCGGATAATGACTCAATTGTGTGTCGCAATCCGATGTCTGGAATAGACTGGCAACACTGGCATTACACTTAGAGCATGCGACTGAATCGAACCAACTAAAATCGACTGCTATTATACAATACTGAACACCGAGTCCTCGGAATCCAGATCCAAGTTTCCAACATCTGCTAAGACTACAGGCAAAACATAATGAAAGGGAAACAAACCATAACGAGTACATGCACCACACCTGGCACCGTCTATTGCAGAGAAGATAGCGTACGAAGAGAACGGTGATAATAGTCGCACTTAAAACTCTCACCGAGACGACAAACCGATAGCGGTCAGTGCGAATTGCGCTGCCAGATTACTCATCCTCGATTCCGAGGACCTTCCTCACGGCCTCTTC